GTATTTATCAACCCCAAAACAAAAGTTAAAGATCTTGTGAAGATGCCTGTTGAAACTATTAAAACAATATGTGTTGTGTATCCATCAAGCTTCATCTGTTGGTCCAACTCCCCTGACAAGTCAGCCATTTTGAGCTATCAGGTTCTAACTAATTATCTCCTCAGTTTACCTCTTCTGTTCATCTTAATTAAATTCAGTTTAATTACAAAGCACCGATTCAAAACAAATATCATTGCTTGGCACTTTGCAAAAATAATGTAATCAAATCAGACAGACAAATTCGGATACCTTCCAATTTAATCAGAGGCAGTGCAGACAAGTTCAGTTTATTATTCAAATTTGCAAAGAAAGTTTTCTAAGGAAGCCCAGGAGATTGCATCATGTCACAGACTTGCAGCAGTCACTCCTTCAGAAAGAGGTTTGTCCTCATAGTAAGGTAATGAAATAAACCTGGAACAGCAGCAAAGAGCTCTTTACTACTTGAAAATAAGGCAGTTTGATGATGATCTAACCAGAATGTGCAGATTTTTCCCCTCTGCGTCGTTTTTACACCAAACAGGTTTTCAATTATTTTACGACCAGGAATATGTCACATTTTTCAAATAAAAAAAGACGCCTTTTGAAACTGAGGAAATATGTCGCAATTCCTAACGAGTTTCGTTTTTTTCAAGAAAAACAAATCTATTAACCTTCTGAAGCGTTGCACTTACGACCTCCCTCTCAGGTTGGGTGTTGTTTGTATTAGTCTGTGCTTCTGCTGTTTGGGTTCCACTGTGGGGTATATATTACTGTATATATTACTGTTTGAAGGCCGACCTGCAGCCACTGGGTTTAACGACACTGAGTGAAATATCCACAGTGAAGTAGACCACACCAGTATTCAGCCAGCTGATTTATTCTGCAGCTCCAAATGTGGAGATGAATCAAATACCTCCAGAAAATATCAAATCCACCAGGAAAAAAAAAAAAACACATGGAAGTGTTTCACTGTAAAGGTAATTCATGTTTACCTTATTGTTTTTTTTTAATTTAACATCAATTAATGCTTAATATTATTTTAATAAAGATATGTTAAAAAAAACCCTGTGCTTTGAAGTGCACAGAACTTCAGACCAGATTATACTTTTGAAGAATCAAAGTGTTGCAGTGGCTTTCATAAAGAGTTTTTGTTTGTTTGTTTGCTTCTCTGCAACAGGAAACACAATTTACTGACTCCAAAATCTATTATCCTGCAGCCCAACCTTATTATTACACTGACTGTTATTACTCAGTACCTGTAGCCTGGCTTTTCTGTGGCTCTGATAACACTCGGCTACTTTCATCGCACAATAAAGGGAGATCTAATGCTCTCAACACACAATCAACTTCCTCATGATTGTGCCCAATGTCTTTTTATCTCATGTGCAATTTAAGATAATAGTTTGATTCATAAGATATGACTCAACTTCCTATTTATCCCGCTTATGTCCTGCTGTGTGGAGAATCTGCCATTTTGTAGAGGAGCTTGAAGGAATTTGTGATAATGGTGCAGTGAAAGTGGTGCACAGTTTGTTTTTATTGTTTTATTGTTGCTATTGCTGCTGTGCTCTCCTTGGTCCTTTCTTTCCACAGAAGCTTTGCGACACATTTAAAAGGTATTCACCCATCTGAGGTGTTTTGCTCAGTTTTTATGAATCAATCATAACCAACAAAATTGGGCTTTCACAACAAAAACATCTGATTTCTGCAAAATATTCTTTCATTCTCCCTCGCAAAACTGTTCAAGCTGATGGCTTTACCCAAACTGCAGAGGACGGTCAATGCCTTCCAGATTTTTGAGTATCCATCCCCTGACTTATACATTTGTCTTCAGCCAGGAATGCTGATGAGCCAGTGACTGGACCTTCCAGAGACCTTTATAATACAATCAATAGAGACACTTGTCGCACGTATTGGATCTCCCTTCCGGTCATTGTGAAACTAGTAGCACTGACTGACTGGAGCTCTGTTGAATTAACTCTGTGTTTAACTCTTTCCTGTCCTTTAAACTGGTTATTTCATTCCAATGGAGGTATAGTCCTCATTTCCTCTTGTTTTTGGTGGTATTTCCTTCTAATGTTACTGAATGTTCAGATAAAATGTGTTGGATGCCATAGTGAGGGTTTTTTTTTCTGCTGTAATTGTTCAAAAGTCTGTGAGAACTTGCTGAAAATTCATGTCGCCAGCAGAGATGAAAGGTCAGACCGCTACTGGGAGGTGTGCCAGGGAGAAACATTAATGAGCAGCATTATCCCTTTCCCACTGTCTTCAGTGCAAACACACCACGGTGTGCAAGCAGCCAGAGGTTACTGCAGGATTCCTTCAGTTCGTGTTGGGGGCTGCGTTCAGGTCACGCAATACATTTTTCAAGGCCATGGGTTTCTTACATGAAACCAGGATTCCTTTTTATTTTTAATCTTTATCCATTCAAACGAGATAGAAGGGCTTTGTGTGTTATATATCCTGTTTTGCGTCTATGGAGTAAGGTGTATGTATTGCATTATGTGGAAACAGATTGATTCTTTATTGTGTAGCTGTTTTCAGATTCTGAGGAGTAATTATCACTTCTTCATGTATTTATAATGGAAAGAAACTAAACAAAAAAGAATGAAAATATAATAACTGTGGAGCAGCAGTTACTGAGGAAACCACAGAATCGAAATAAAAAAAAAAAACTCCAGCCTGGTGGTGATTTCTCTGCAGAAGTTTCCTGCTACTCTAATTCAGTTCCGTTTTTATCTCTGCTTTGGCCGTTCAGGACCGGATGGTTTTAAGGCTCTAACTTTGTTTTCATGTGTTTCGGTTCGTATTTTGGGCATTTGCTGTGTCTTTCTGGGATGAGACCCAGGTCCCTCCTGATTCCTGGCAGTCGCAATGTGGCAGATGTCTAAATTCACACCATGCACAGAGCTGCTCAGGCATGGAAAACAAAATTAGTCCATTTGGTCCGTTTACTAGAGGGGATTTCTGGAAAAGTTGCAAATTTAAAAGTATCACCGCCCAGTTGCTGATGCTACTTTTTGCTGGCTGTGATATGAAAATATTTCTCGACTGCTGTGAGTTAAAAATTTATAATCCCATATGACTCCCAGATTTCAATTCTCTCACATTCACTTGGAGGCTGGATTTTAAATGTTGGGTTAAAAGTTATATTCTTTTTTATGTACTTTTAGGGAGACACAGTTATGCTGACATGCACTGTCTGGCCACTTTATTAGGAACACCTGACTACTGCTCCTGTAGGATTCAGGACCGCTCCTCAATCATTTTGGTCCACAATTACATGACAGAATATTACAAACGCTGCATATTAGTTCATAATGTGAATTTTATGTTCCACCACATCCCAAAGGTTCTCTACTGGGTTTCAATTTACTGAATGAGATTTGATTATTTGTAATATTTCATCATTAGCTTTTAAATGAGTAGTTATTCCAAACACTGAAATGTGCTCTCAAACAGAAAATGTTGCATTTTTTTAAAGTAATATGTTCACTTACTAGAAATAGCTGCATCTATCCATAAGGGGGGAAAAAACAACAACAAAAAATGATTTGGTAAAGTGCACCTCCAGGAAATCTTCTGGCTCATTTTCAGGCAGGATTTGAAGTCCTGATGAAATCACTTAAGTATCCTGCAAGTCCCAACTCATTCATCTCACACCAGCACAGAGCCGTCCAGCTGATGTGACTTGTGTTGGGCGTTTCGCTGTGTCTCCACATGTCGGCCAAGGCGTGGGGACGCTGCAGCACCTGAGGCGGGAGGCAGAGTGATGCAGATGATTAATGCTGGCAGGGCAGAGTTGATACACGATAAACAAACAAACAGGCCGCCCAGTCGCTGTTCTGAGGAAGCACCGACTGGCTCGTGCCATCTGTTGTGTGGATAACTTTGCCTCTGCATGCCTGTTGGCATCAATAAGACATGAGGACACGGAGACAGGGGCGGCTCTTTGATTTTTAAATAAGGCTCCTCCACATTGTGTGCATACGAGCTGCATAAAAACACCCCAGCAGTTGGATTTACACATGCATTCCTAAATAAACAGGTGCTGTTTAAAACAGCTACTGCAATGCATGAAGCAAGCAATATTCATAATCAGTCACTGCATTCATGAAACAAAGGTATCTAATTTGTCTTACAGGTTTTAATTTTAGTTAATGATTTATGGGTCTGCAAGGCTTCACGGATTTCAAGTAAAAAGTTTCACAGCTAAAAGGCTGGGCAAATAGCACCCTCTGGCGGCTAAAACAAAGAAAACATCTATTTTAACTTCCTACGGGGGGAAAACGGTTCTGCACATCTTCCATTAACATTACAATTCTACAATCATCACAGAGCAGCAAAATCAGGACAAGAAAAAAAAAAGATGGCATAAGTGCATAAATGTTTGCAAATTATATTCTTAACTCTTTTCTTTACATTTGACAGAAAAACAAAATGGATGGAAATTATAATTTACCAATGAACGATAATCATATATTAGGTGTTTTAGAGTTTATAGGTCATAACAATGATAATTAATGAAGTTTAAGTTTCAGAATATTTCAGCTTTTTGTTTTCCAGGCTGCAGCCTTAATGTTTCAGTTAAGTGTATTAGAGGAACTTTATCTGAACAGCTGCAGAAACATGCAAGATGAAACCTCACTCCGTCTTTGGAAATGTCTGGAGATACGCAGCTTTTTACCAAAACTAAAACTTCCATTTAGCCAGCTTTCCAATTGTTCTTGTTCATGTGTTTCAAGTTGCTGACTTGCCTCAAAGCAGTGTTTGGATATACTCCATTAACTCATGAAATCAACTTTTTTCTGCATTTAGGATATCATTGTAACAAAAAAAGCAACATTAAAAGACATTTCTTTCTGAATTTAATCTGATTCTCTTATTTTGATCAATGTTAACAGTGAACTATCTTTTTAGTTTATAAATTGAGTGAATATTTGTGATAAGTAGATGTTCGAATAAAAACAGTCACTTCCAAGTTATACATATATATTTTTTATTTTAAAAGAAATACTGATCATCTCATTCCCAAACCTGACCAATAATACAGATCAAATTTATCACAAACAGATTGAAACAAATGAAAAGAGCATTACAAAAAACAAAACTAAAACCTCACCGGCAGTTTTTTATGTGGCGTTTCAACACAAAAAAACAGATACTGAGTTTTCTAATACAGGCAAGTTTATGCAGCAGTTTCTTACTCACATTCTCTCATAGTCACAATGTAACACATGCAACGCTTCTAAAGTTCAGATTTTACCCAAACTTAGACAAGCGCTCAAAAAAAAAAAAAAAATGAACAAATGGTATATGAAGACAGACGGCTTAGTTTTGGTCCCAAACAACCAGAAGGAGGTCAAAAAGAGCCCAAATAAAGAGTTAATATTCAGTACCAAACAATACAAGTGTTTTAGTTGGTCCAACAGTAAAAAATAGATTGTTAAAAAGTTAGTTATCTAAGCAAAAAGATTGGTTTGAACCAATCTGGTTTGTTTTGAGCAGTCTTGTCCCCTGTTGACAGAGCCTGCTCCTTCAGTTCAAATGGAAAAAAAAAAGGTTTTAAACCATAAACAATAATTAACACATCTGAGTAAACCTCAACAAACATTAACAGTATCTTACATATTTATAATAGTGTGAAGGGAAAAGATTAATTGCACATAATCGTTGGTTAAAATGTAAAATGGGACAAAAGAAAATGGCCCAGTTATTAAAACCACATAATAGTACATTTAAATTTTTTAGTTTTTACATATGACAATTTTTTTTAAAACAAAAAACAAGGAATAAAAATGTAATAAAAGCTGCAAAGAAGAGTAAAAAACAACAGAGAGTGTGTGTACAGTTTTAAAATAAACCCTTGCTCTTCTTCAGGTTCTGCTGCTTCCAGTTTGGCAGGGCGTTGAACTCGACGCGACTCATCTCGAAAAGCGTCTTGCGGGAAAACAAACGGGACACACAGAAATCAGAACGTGGTTCTCTTACACACACACACACACTGAGCACAGTGGGGGGTGTGGTACCTTGAAGTCCTGGTCTGACAGGTAGTCCTCCAGCCGTAGCGGGTCCACTCCCTCCGGCAGAGGCTTCCTGGTCAGCTCCTCGATGGAGTACTGCTGCTTGCTCAGTTTGGACAGAGCTTCTTTCACCAGGATCACTTTGCTCTTGGAGCTTCCAGTCTGCATGTTGTTAAAACACACACACACACACACACACACTTAATATAAAACATTCACAAACACAGGAGGAGGATGACGAGGATGTATTTGTTAGTGACCTTAGAAGTGATGCTGGTGTTTTTCTCCCAGTATGGGAAGATGTTTGTGAAGGTGAGAGGCTCCAAGCCTGCGAGGACCAGGTAGGCCTGAGGGGGGCGCCGGGGGTTCTTTTCTGCAAGTCGGCAAGAAAATAGCAACCGAAATGTTTATTTTGGGTTTAAAAGTTTAAGTTTTATTATATTGAGCCAAAACTGCTGACAAAAATAAAAACTTAAACAAAACCAAATGAAATCAGCCTTTTTGTTTGGAAAGGGAATTTATTCCAGGAAAGAAAAATGGATGACTTCTGCATTTTGGCACATTTATAGTTAAAAAGTCACTTGAGCCAAAGGGCCAAAATGCACGTGTGTGTCAGCTTTAACCTTTGCAGTACTGCAGCACGGTTTCCATGGCGCACTTCCTCTCGCTGTCCCAGCGCATCTTTGCAGATCCGGTGCTCTGGGTGTCGTCCGGCTGCCAGCCCTGCCACAGATACACCTCCATGCGGTTGTCCAGGAGAAACAAGGCTGACGAAGAAATGAGAACAAAAACCGTAAGAAGGAATCCAGCAGAAACGGATAACGGTTAAAAACAGCTGCTGTAAACAAAGTACATGAAAGTCAGGCTAGGAATAACTTTAGGAGGTAAAGTTACAGAGCTCCCAGGTTTAATGTTACAAGGAATGTTCCTTTTTGTCTTTCTAATAATTGCTCCTCCAATATGGAGGCATGTGGCCAATCCTGTTTGTGGTTCCTGAGAGTTAACGCAAACACTAAGGACCAGGAGGAACAAACAACCCACTAAAGTACAGAAAATAAAAACTTGCTTATATGTTTAAAAATGTTGAAATATCTCTGGAAGTCCTTTTCAACATAAGATGGATTTCATCTCTCTGACCAGTTAATTCAAAATATCTCAAATAGAAAATCTGTCTAAAGAAATCTCTGAATAGTTTGGAGATATCTTCAAATTAATTTTGACTAGTCAAACTTATAGCTACAGATATTTCTAATTAAATTTGGCCTAGTCATTATTTAATTTGATACGATTAATCAAATAAAAATAATTTGCACATTTTGCAGATTTTTCATAACTGATTAATCCAATTCATCTTTACAGGTCTCTATATCTCCCATATAAAAATACATTTAAGATATCTTTAATTAGAAATATGACTAGTCAAAACAATTACATTTGTTAAATTTACTTTATGTCTAGTCATAGTTTGTTGATATCTGAAATATACGTTTCAGGATATAATTAATTCCAGATATCTTGCATTAAAGCTTCCATATAAATCATGACATTGATTATACAAGTCAGAATATAATTAAAAATATCTGAATTTACCAATACATCTATTCATGAACCAATTTCCGATATCTGGACTGTTACGTGTGGTGAAGCTGATTTTATGCTAAAACTGCCTGCCATACCTATGTGCAGCTGTTGGAGCGTTACCTGGCTGCTGTGCGGAGTAGAGGCTCTCCTGCAGGAAGGGCATCGCCATGACGCCCTCCGTCACCCTGGCTGAGTACAGCTGCTCCTCCCATCCGAACATCCCAGAGCTGGCGCTCAGCCGGAACAGGCGGGGGGTGTAGTTGTACTTTCCAGGATCTTGATAACAAACACACGTCTTCCATTTAGCTCATTGCTAACTCGCCACCAGCGCACCGACCTCCCCCACCCCTCTTACCTTCCAGCATACAGTCGTAAGCCTTCTTGTCCTGCGGGCCTAAAGCCTTCAAAACCTCTGCCGGCTCAGAGCCTTCCTCCACCTCCTCCACCCTCAGCTTACTGCTGCTGTTCAGTCCCAGCTCTGAGGGACACCTGAGGAAGAGGCAGACCTATGAGTTCCCTTCAGGAGACAGTGAGGCTGTGAAGACCTTTCAGTTTCATCCCAAATCCTACCTCTGCTTCAGTTTGTCTGCTGCTCTTTTGGCCACCTGCTTGGCGTCTGCATGGGCTTTGCATCCGTGCCACAGGTAGAGGAGAGCTTTCTGAGCGTTAAGCAGCACCAGGCTGGCACGGGAACGCAGGCTGGCACGCTCACACGCCACCTCCACCAGGGAGGCCTCGGCCTGGGCCTCGCCGCGCACGCAGAACAGCCTCCAGCCACCTGGATGCAGCAAGCAGAGGGTGTTACTGCAGTCAGGATATGGGAGCTCAGCCGAGAGCTTCCTGGGTGTTTTTATGGAAAAGTTCAACGAAACAGGAAGAGCTGTTAGTTATTTAAAATAAAAAGCACAAAAGTTCACAATGAGCTGCAATTGTGGGTTTTATTTAAGAAACTTGCAGAAAACCAGAGGATGGAAGTAAAGAATGAAAGGAAATAAATTAATAAAGGAGAGAAAGTAGGAAAGAAGTTATAGATTAGAGGAAAGAGCAACATGAGAAATGAATAAAGGGAGAAAAGAAGGACGCAAAGGAAGCAAGGACAGGAGCAAGAAAATCTAAATCTTGGGTTTACACAGGAAAAATCCTGAAATCAAACGATGCTTTCCTGAGCAGGAGCCCTGTCAGCTGCAGGAAGTGACCCGTTTGTACCTGAGCTGCTGGCAGCATCGTCTCTGCTGCCCTTATGGATGACCAGTCCTCCCTGGAAGAGCTGCAGGAAACATGGCGGCTCCTTACCCTGAGTCACCAACACCTGCGCGGGCCAATCAGAAACAAGCATATGGAAGTCTGAACATTTCAGAGGAGGAGGCATCATGTGTTTGGATGTTTTTATTGACAGTTAGTGATGAGCTGACCTGTGACCCCCGGTGGCTGCCCAGCTCCACGGTCATCAGGGCCGACGTTCCTTTCTCGCTGGCGCTGGAGTGCCGGCCTTGCCAGAAAAAACACGCCGTCCTCTCTCTGCCGGGAGCCGCTGTGCTCAGTTCTCCGGGTTTCTGCCGCTTCCCGACTGAGACGAGTCAGAAAAGCCAGCGTGACCCGGTGAATCAGACGCCCCGCTCTCTCTCCCCTCTGACGGCTCGACTCGTTTTCACGCGACTCACCGAGCGTGGTGATGGAGTATTTCCAGCGGATGATGTAGGCGTCGCCCTCGTGGAGCTGGCCCACGCTCTCCTCGGGAAGCTCCTCCTCGCCGTGCTCCTTGATGTGCCACGCCTCCACCGCCACGGTGGCCAGCTCCGCCTGCCTGCCGTCCTCGGTCTTCACCAGGCCGTAGCCTCGCTGCACGTCCACGCCCTCCAGGACGGTCCGCACCGGGTCGGCCTCGTTGTCCAGCAGCGCTTTGGCGTCGCACGGCTGCAGCTCCAAGTCAAGCGGGGAGCGCAGGGTGGAATGATCCGGGCTCTGAGTACAACAACAAAATACTTGGTTCTTGTTTTGTTTCTGCATATTCGAAAAAAAAAAAAATGCAGCAAATATCTTAGTAGACTTAAAATAATTCAAAATTAACTTCAAAATAACTCCTCAACAATATGAAGGAGCTTCTTTAAGGGAATAATCTCTTAAAAGTGATGAAAAAGTTACAGTTTCTCTGGCAGATCATTTCAACATTGAAAAATATAAAGTAAATGTTTCCAAATACACAGAATTTATTTCTATGATGAATGTAGTAAACACACTTGATAAAAAATAATTAGTTTCCATCTTAAGGAGGGGGAAAAAAATACAACATTAAAAGATATTTCTAATTGCTATTTGAAAAAAAAAATAGCAATTAGAAATATGTGGTAATGTGTTCATGATAATATTTATTTTTTAAATACGATATTCCACATTTTCTGCTTTTTCTACTTTTAAGGGTGTGGGGCGATTTTTAATTTTAATTAAGGACATTTAATTGGCTAAATTTAATGTCCTTCATTTTTGACATTTTCATTTATTAACTTTTACAAATATGATGACACAACAATAAAATCGCCCTGTGTTTATATTAAATTTAATACTGATACTTTTATGCTAACAAATTAGCAAAAAAGAACTAGAGCTTGATTATGCATTGTTAGCAAAATTATTTATGCTTTCCGTCTAAAACAGCATTTGAAAATTAGAACTGTAATTTATTACAATTAATTTACCAAAACGTGTCCTGATATCTACAGCTGATCAGGCTACGATGGGAAACGAACCATGAACCGGTAACACTGACTGACTCCAATCAGCTTTATGACCGGTACGGTTGGTGACTCTCGTTCCGGTCTCACCCACCTTGACTTCCTCTGCCTGAGCCGCTTCCTCTTTCTTCCGCTCGGCCCAGTCCAGGAACTTCTCCCTGAACAGCGACGTCTCGTTGTGCTCTGACAGCCGGCCGAACAGAGTCCAGCTGGGACGCCCCTCCCCCTTCCTGTAGGTCACACACAAACACACTTACTACAACACACATGCCGCCAAGTGTGTGTGCAGCTGTGCTGGAGCAGATTAACCACTAGGGGGCACCAAATAGACATGAAACAATGCAGCAGTCGTTTCTCCATATTTATGCACAACTCAAAGACGAGCAGCAGAAGTCATCATCTAATCTTGTCCTTTGGTGTCATTAACTCGTCATACTCACTGAGGTACGTCCGTATTATTGCAGGAGGAATCCAGAGGGTTGACTCTGCAGCTGCTGTAGTCGTAGCTGCCGCTGTAGAGCTGTTTGCCCAGTTTGACAGCTACTTTTCTGTCACCCAAGGGCACATCTTTTCCGTGCCATACGTACACTTCACTGCCAAAGTCAAAGACTAAAACCTGGTGTGTGGGTTTAGCAGGAGAAAAGAAGATTGGAAAAGCTAATTTAGCTACAGAAACGGCAGAAAACATTTAAAATGGGCGATAAAGACGATCAGGAGATGGAGATGCAACAATCTGGCTTCTCATGTCAGATTCTGATTCAGGATTTTGTCTCATTCTGAATAATTCAGGTGATGAAGGCCAAGAAGAAAAGGCTCTTTGATACACCCAGCAGGAAATGAAGAGGGGACTAAATGTCAAATGATGTCCCTGTAGTGAAAAAAAAAATAACGCAGTTTCTCATTTTAGTTTAGTTAGGATTGCCAAAATTATTTCTATTTGCAGCGTGTCAGAAACAGAATGGTAAACAGAAATTTTGTGTCTATTTTAAATCGGAAATGAACAGGAAGTGGAGGGAGGGAGCAAGGAGGAGAGATTCTGAAGTTGGGAATCGAAGTATTGCACTAATTTAGTTATAAAGGTGGTAGAAGTAATTCATTCAACTGATGATCCTAAATGACCGACAATGGATATTTTTAGAAAGTTTACGTAAACATTTGGTTTTAACTGTGTAAACCTAAGATTTTGGATCTACGTCATGAATGATAATAAAATTAATTTAATAATTACCTCCAAAAATGATAATTCAGCATCTAACCTGCAGATCTATCAAGGGAAAATCTCCTGATTCTGATCTCTGGTTGACTGATTGGTGCATCTCTAACAGTGATATGTTTGTTAGTGACGTTACCTCTTTAGAATCGAGCAGAGACACACTGGGGATGGAGGCCCAGGCATCTTCATGAGGCACCAGTTTGTCTCCCTGGAGTCTGTAAACCCCGTTAGAGTCCACCACCCCACTCTCATAGAGCTCGTCCTCCTCTGGGTCCCCTGCCCCTGTTACACATGCGCACAGATGCAGTATGTCAGTAATGGGACCACCTGTCTACTTATTCTGCTCATCTAAAACTTTCATACCTCTGTATTTAGTCTTTCCACCTATCAGGCTCCAGAACTCTTTGGCCCATCTGCTTTCAGTGTTGATGCCTTCCTCCAGCACGGACACCTGGGGAGCCTTGCAGCCAAGGTCCCGCTTGGCTTGAACAAAAGACGCCATCTCTGATGCCTGGCCGAAAAGAAGCACATGCAACACGTCATATATGTGCATAAATGGAGGATTTACTGCAGGTATCTTCAAAGTGCTCCACGCAGGACGTAATCCTGTCCTAGATTAGCGCCAGACAGTCTGCTACCAGTCTGAGGCATGTCAGATTGTGCAATGATTGCGCGCCGACTTACAGCGTCCCATAAAAATAAATAAAATGCTGGAACTTATCAGCAGCTTCAGAGTCTCCAGAATGCCTTTCGTTCAAAGTCAGAAATCTGGGTTCAGCAGCATTATCAGTAGAATGAGTTACAAACTACTATTATAAAGTCTGCACAGCGTATGTCATGCTATGTTGTGCAATGTTAAACCTGATGACAGCCTTTAGTGGCTCCATTCGACTTTTGCACCTGGACTGGCTCTGCTGCATTCTCCTCAGCAGACAGTCTGCATGCAATAAAACAGAATCAGACTGCAAATACAAACAACAAGGCTTTGGTCAAACTGTTCCCACATTTTGCGCATTGTTCTTCTACATCTGTAGAAATGATAAAGCGACTGAGAACATAGCTGCTATTGTATTGAAAAGCCTAAAGCAGTCACATCCAGGAGCTTGAAAATCAGAACAAATACGAGATTTGTAAGCATTATTGTTTGCTTAATGTTCCAGCAGGTTTTCCCACAGCAGGACCTTGTTTTGTTTAATAGAGATGATTCACCAGGTGAACTGCTACCTGTCTAAACATGTCAACAGAAGTTGTGAAAACCCCCTTCTGGGGAACTCTGAAGCGTTTGATTCAGTGTGAGCTTCCGTACCTTGGCTTTCTCAATGACGTTGGCGAATTCTCCGCTCCACATAAAGCAGTGCTTCGGGGTTATGAGGAGGAAGCAGTCCCCGCTGTTCAGCGAGCGCGCCGTCGGTTCGACCAGGCGCACCTGGATGTGCCTCCGACCTGCGGGCGGCAGCAGCTTTCACTTCCGTAACCAGGGGTCCCGAAACGGTTTTCATTTAGAACGACAGATTTGTCAGTCGTCTGCGGCCATTTTCAAAATGAATTTGTGGTAGGTATTTCTACGGTGGGAGGAAGAGGTTTAAATGTGGTTTTGGGAGATACTAGACACTGGGAGGAAGGAACGAAGTACAAGTAAGGACACAAGGCAGGGAAAGGAAGACGTAAGGGTTCATAGAAGGAGATAAGTTCAGAAAAAAGGGCAGACGCAATAAAGGACTGAGGGAAGGACAGAAGACAAACAAATTCTCAAAATACAAATGTTTCAGCTAATAAAACAAACTTTAACCAGCATATTACAAAAGTAACTTCTTTTTGATTCTTCAAAATAAACCAGTCATTTTTCTTATGAAGTTGTGGACACCGTTAATGTTTCGCATCATGCAGAGAGACGGAGAATTCCCTTGTGTTTTCTGACCTTTGATGCGAATAAGCATGAGCTTGTGAAAAGGCACGGCGCTGTTGTTGGTCACGACCTCTGTGGACTTCACGCTGCGCAGGTTGACCTTGCGAAAGTTCTCCTTGCTGGCGAGCCCGGCCAACGCCACGTCCGCCAAGTTGGAATGTTTCGCCACTTTGTGGGGAAAGAAAACGGGATAAAACAAAGACGTGATTATTATATTGTACCAACAGTAGTGCCTCTTTTCAGGCATTAAGTCATTTCTGCGCTTTAGGCAAAGATATTATTTCATAGTATGACTAAAAAGCATCAACAATACTTCAGTAGAAAGTGCTAGAGATGAGTCACGCTTTCGTATTACTTGGTTCATGTGAGCAACATTAGACAACGCTCGTGTTGTAATCCTGCCCACATCCTCAAGTGAAAAGCTGAAGCAAGAGTAGTCTGCAGAGCGACAGAGTGCAGACATGCAAACAACCTATGGCGTAGCATGAAAGTGTCCAGCAGCTGACCACATCATCTTTAAATACCCCCAACTTGTCTCCAGCCTCAACATTTTCACAATACACGTTTTCAGTTTCCATGCGAACAAGTACAGTCAGATCCTTGGGGCTTTTTTTCCTTTTTTTAAACATTTTGTCACACTATAATTACAAACTTTAGACCAACACAAACCTGAGCATAAATATGAAGGAAAACATTTTGTTTTTTAGTCAAATAAACTAAAACTGTGGTGTGCATTTGAGTCATTGTTCTCCCAGCAGCTCCTCACTGTGTATATATGCAGCTCCTCCAGAGCTAACATTAGCAACGTAGCTGCTCCTGGGTCCCAGTTTAGGTGAACGGCAATGTGTTGCTGTCTGTAGTTGGGCCATCCTCTTTCCCTTTGAGATGAGCAGGACTCAGAGATCCTCAAAGCATGGGATGTTATGTGAAATGACTATTTTAAAATCCTCCATAGCTACCTCACAGACCAGCCTGCGCCTTGGTATCCAATATCCTCCAATCAACCTCCAAGTCTTCACAGAACAGCTGCATTTACACTGTGGGATTGTGTATTGGAGTAAAATAGGCTGAAAACAAATGCAGGCCACACATTTCAGATTTTTATTTCTAAAAAAAAAAAAAAACGTAATCTCTTTTATTCCACTTCACAATTACATCATATTGTGTTGGTCTACCAGACAAAATCCCATTCATAAGCTGAGCTTTCTGGTTGTAGTGTCACAGGAAGTTTCACGGATGTGAAAATTAAGAGAAGCTAAACGTGGAAAAATCCAGAAGAGCGTCTTCACTGCTTTGTCATCCAGCTTATTTGCCGGATTGCTCTAGGTAAATATCTTATTTACTTTAGGGAAATGTGAGCAGACTTACTCCTCTCAACTTGAATCCTCTTGGTCTCCACTGACGCCACGTTAAGCCTCTGCTCGGTGTAAACCTGCCGGATGTCGTTACGGGCAGCGAGAGCCCGCAGGGGATTCCTGGAGCCCTGATTCCTTCTGGCTGGTCGCACCGCTCGCTTGTGCTCTGCTACCGCTGAGGTCAGCCTGGAGGCGAATTGCAACAAAGAAGTATTTTATTTATATTAAATAGAAAATACAATCTTGCTTTCTTAACACTTATGGACAGCAAAACTGTGTTAGTGCAAAAGTGGAAGAGTGGAAGCAAATATTTCCTAACGCATCAGAGGTGATAAATATCACCAGGGCAAAAGAGAAAGACACATGGGATTGTTTTAAACTAACTTTGGTGTATCAGCCTGGATGTCACTCAGGTCTTCCTCAGTCAAAATCACGCTGGACTCCAGGAGAGTGGACGGGGAGACAGGTTTGTAGAAGTTGCCAAACGTCTCATCGTCGTCCAGAGTCATCACCTCTTTCTCCATCTCTGCCGTCACCTCGATGGTGGACGACTTGGCTTTGCCCACACCTAATCCCACAGAGCCCATGAAGAATGCCAGGAAGCAGGAAGAATGAGACTGATTTTGTTTTAGCTGGTGAATGCTCATGACTTAGCATAGTTTAAAATAAGAGCAATATGCGGCCTTCTTAAATAAAATAAATTAGGGCTGTACAATATATTAAAAATATCTAGTCATTCATATCAGTGCATGCAGAAAGCTGCTGTTCTGTTAGCTAATAGTGGGGCTAATTTTTAATTTAGTGCTAGCCAACTAAAAATATTTAGTGAAATTATTTTCTGGAAAAATTTGCTAATTTACTTGGCTGAGGAATTCTTCAAGTAATTAAACAGCAATATCCATGCTCTTATTTTGAAGTGCTGTTTACACAGAAGTTTCTTCTGTCCTCCGTTTTTTTCTAAGTAGCTTTATTTAAAACAAGAGACGTACAGGAACGAAATAAAAGTCAGACAGCAGAGAACAATGTTTGAACATAAAAACAATGTCCAAAGGAATTATAGAACATGTCAATTATAGTTTAAAAATTAAACTGGACCTTAAAGGTCGTAGTCTTTCAAGTGCAGACATAATTTGAATTGAAGTCATAATTTTAGCATTAGCTTCCGCTACATACCGTTTTGGTGTAGTGCTTTAGCAAAACTCATTTTTTTAGTTAGCAGCTTTGATACCTAAGAGTGTTAGTGAACTCATGCTTTGTTGACAGAGTCAAAATAAACATTTAAAGTAAATAGCAGCACAGATTGTACCTTTATTGTGGAGTTTGTCAAGGAAGGACTCCAACTTGTCGAGACGTTTATCTCCCTCCACTTTGACGTCAGTCCTAGTGGAGATTTCTGCCCGGTGGACAGAGAGATTTAGTCAGTCCATGTGAAGTCAGCAGGCAGGTTGAGGCGCCTAAACAGTCTCCTTAAACCACTAAGACCAGGTTTAAGAAACAAAAGCATTACAGTTGAATCCCAGACAATACCTTCATGTGGTTTCACAGGCGTGGCGTTGGACTTCTTCAGAGTGATGATAGGCGGCTCGTCCTTGGACACGAGACCTGAAGCCGCACGACACGGAAGTTATTCCTTTCCTGGTTTTTCAAAGAGCTACAATATTAGCAGCTTGTGCCAGTTGGTGGTTGCGGTAGCTCAGGTAACATGTTGCCTTTCTTCGTATCTTTGTTTGGATTAGAGTTTCTACTGAGCTTTTGTCTGTTTTCCTGAAAGTTTTCTGCACGGTTTTATTTGCATTTTTCCTTCAGAGAGACGTTTGCAAAGCAAATTGCAGTGCCTGACACTGCTCATCAATATGCCTGTCAGGCTTAAGGATACAGCCGCACAGCAAATAAATAAAAGTAAAAACACCCTACCTTTCTTGGCCATTCGTCCAGCCACCGTGAACTGAACCGAGTCATTGGCTGCTCCTTTGCCTTTGCTCTTCCACTGCTCCTCTTTGTCTTTGAGGATCTTCATCCTCTCTGCCAGCGACATCTTGGGCTCCAGATCAACATTGGACTTCTGTTGGATTCAGATACGACCCAGTTAGAACTCTGTGAGGACATTGATTTTCTCCAGCGCTGGTAGATTCCCATGCAATATATCTCACACATTAATAGATAAGGATGCAAGAAAAGTGTTTGCATGACACAAACTTAATTTAAAAAGAAGCATTCAGATTCTGACAGGATACAACCACAAACGTCCATGTCTTTTTTTTAATTATGTGTATGGAATAAACAAAAATGGTTGTGCTGGATTTTATTTAGGTTCATCAGACAACAAGAGGATGAATACAGAAAAAAACAGTTTTCAAATGTTTTACTTTCTTGCTAACTGTGCATTTCAAATAATTCAAGTAAGATGACAAAATGTGAATAAGCTAAATTGGTGTGAATAGTTTTGCAATTTTACAGAGACAAAAGATTTAAATATATGAATAATATCTGCAAGAACAAGTTGAGCCTCTGGTTTTCCAGCACTTATCATGTAGAGTTCATTATGTCTCTGTGATATACTCTCCTGTCATGCTAGCATTCAAAGTCAATGATTCAAAAGTAACTTTATTAGGACACTGCAACTTAGCAGCGCCATTAAAGTAAATATAAACCCCCTCCACACATATATTTACGGCATGTTAAGATTACATAAGAACTATTTCTATCACACACTCGTTTTTCTGTAAAAATGAGCAACTCAGAGTGTGTAATTCACTGTGACTGGCGACTTCATTTCAGCAACAAGTTACAGCAGAAGCAGAGCCATCAGAAAGCAATCCCAAAAAGAAAAATGTCTGCTTTTGAAAAAAGGGCTTGCCGAGCATTCATCAACAAGTATTCCCGCTGTTGTGTGTTGACATGAAACGTGTCACGTTCTCTCACTTCAGAGCGACTCCAAGTCAACTTTAACTACTTGAAATTAAAGTAAAAGATAAACAAATGTTCAGGACTCCTGCAGCTAAGCAGCGAGTTGCAGTCCCAGAGGACGTTTTTCTTTGTGGCTGAATGATGATCTGTGGGATCTCCTGACTGTCGTCATCTTCACGCTCTGCAGTCATTTTAAGCATTTGCAGATGTCTGCAGCTTTAAAGGGGAAAACATGTTGGGATGAAGCAGTGATGAAAAGCACTCTGGCATGGGAAAATAGACGTGTTGGCGTTCCTTAAATCTTTTAATCATCACACTGAGGCTGATTGCTGTCGCTCCACAGAAAGATTGGAAGGAAAATAAAAAGTATATTGGATTCTATTCAGCAATGTAGCAGATGCAGAGTTGATGATTTTCAGACAAAGGATTCCCCCCCCAAAAGTCACAACTTTATTTAGTAGTTTTATCTAATAACAGACTAGACAGATATTAAAGCTGACATTTACAGGAAGCTGTTGTTTCTTGTGTCTTTCAACAACTTTTTAAATTGAATACTCCCTGTCGTGGACCATAGAAACAGAATTAACCACAGAAGAAAAAGAAGCATGTTTCCCTGGTGACATAAGAAAAGTTCAAAGAATCCCATTTGATCATCCTGATATACTGCAAACTGTTTCCAATCCCATCTCTGCTTCACACACACCCACACACTCGCAAACACAAATGGAAAACAGAGCTGCCATGTCTGACTGCCCATCAGCCGGGGCTTTAGCATCTCACCCAAGGGTGGATGAAACGAGTCGACCTACTGAGCCAGAGCCCTACAAAAACACTGGAGCTGAGCATCAAAATGAGCTCATTGTTTACTTTGCATGTAAAAAGAAGCGTTGACACGGGTGAGTAAAGCCCTCTTTCAGGCTTGTGCTGCATTTTATTGAAAAGATGGAAACTGAACATCTGTGTCTTAACGAGCAGCCTGGAGGTTTTTTCTTACATTTTCCTCTGCCATTCTGAGAAAAACCGGTCCCTGTAACATATGTACGTTGGTGACAGGAGTAATAAAAATGAAACCATGCTTACGAGTTTGAGAATGAGGTGAAATCTTGATTAAACGTCTAAACGTTCAGATCCAACCATATTTAACACAATGCAGCATTGAGTTAATTTTTCATCCGGTTGATATACAGTCAGGTTCAGCATAAGTGCAAACATGTCCGCATATAGAAGTCCTCTTTGTCCCCTCAATAAAACCATGCATATCACGAGCGACCAGCTGAACGCCGAGGATTTGACAGACTGATTAAGACATTAATGGTATGCAAACACCCAGCAGCTTCTTCAAATAAACACATCATATTTTATAAAACTTGAAATGCTTAAAGCACCACATTAGAGACACTTTAAATCGGTAGCATTCAGCGATGCTACCGTATATACATACACAACTACCTAAACATGAGCTCTATTACATTCTTCTGTCCCGTCATAAACTACAGCTACAAACCTGTCTGGAGTCAATCACAGAGGGGAAATACCTTGGCCTGACGGGACTCCAGAGATGATGAGGCCCCCAAAAACCTGCAGCTTTTCCCCTCTAACCCAGCTGTGGCCTTCAGCGTAAACACAGGTATAAACCACCTGTGAAGCAGCAAGATACATTTAAATTAGCTCCGACTTCTCTGTGAGGAACAAAAATGGAGACGGCTTGTCTGGGACACATGCTGCATGAAAAAAGCAACATAGTAAGAAGGGGTGCGCCGATAAATTGGTGCCGATTTCTTTCATTTTGGGAGGGAGGTCGGCAACAGGCCGATTCGTGACGAATCGATCTTTTCCACCAATCATCTCTCGCTCTCTGCTAAAGTCTGAAAATCAGCCATAGCTGCCTTTCCATTACAAATGTGTGCAGAACATTGTCAATGAAAATGCTGCACCATTATCCTCAAACTACTTCTTGTCTTCTTCTTTGTGGGTTGCACCAGTGGCAACATCTGCTTGTTGATCATGTGGCTTGTCTGATGCAAAAAAGGTGTTTTCATTGCTGCTTTTCAAAATAAACCAATTCTGATTCATCCCCCCATCTCAAAAATCTCCAAAAAATAAAAAATAAAATAAAATAAAATTTGAGATTTTTCAAAATCTCAAATTGCGCAGTTGTATGGTCAATAGAAACACAAATATTCTTTACTTTTGACATGAGAGAGGCCTGACTGACAGACGAGAAGGGCATGATTAATAATCAGTCACCCCACTGTTGCCAACTTAGCATCTTTGTTGCTATATTTAGCAACTTTTCAGACAAATAAATGAATAAATAAACAAATAAATAATTGGAACTGGCCAGAAAACTGTAATCAGTGCATCCCTAATAGTAAGCAAGCCCATGCTAAACAGGAACATGCGCCATTTCATGTGCACACACTCACCTGGAGAAATGAGGAAAGGTAGACAGGCAGGTGTCAAAGTCAAAGAAAGGAGCAGAGTCTGTAGATGTAGACAGGAGCCACAGAGGGCAGGAGGAACTAGGAGAGCAATAAAAGAGTAAAAAACAAAGAAAGGAGGGAAGGAGAAAGGAAAATTACAAGCGGAGAATGGGGAAGATGCAGATTACGGTTTCAAGATTTTACACGGAAGTCTACAGGAAGTGAGTGGGGTGGGAATGTTCATATGCGTTTGGAGATGCAAAGACAACAAATCATAATGTGCACAAATGAATAATTTCTATTCAAAGTGGAAGGATATAAAACCAGTTTTCAGATCTAAAAGCTATAGAAAAAGAAAAAATATTATGCTGCAGGCCTTATACAGACAATCCTGTTTTTGTTGATTTGTTGACTCATTACATGTATACAAAACAAAGTATACATGTAATTTATACATGTAAATTTGGAAATGCAGGAAAATCCTGCATTTCCAAATTATTTATAGATTTACTATAATATGTTTGAAAAGTCTTCACAAGGGCAGACCTTCATTTACAGCCACAAAGCAGCTTTTTCCATGTTGTTTGCTGACCTTTTGTGAAAAAACCCCAAAACAAAACAAAAAGATGTCATCAGTCATCACAACATATGACTAACAATTATTCCTCATGACTCAACTTGCCTCGTTTTGAATCAAATTTACAACCAGGCATCGCTTTACAACACCAGGGTGCAGAAAAAGGCTCAGCAGGTCTAACAGGAAACATCTGGACCTAATCACAGCCTCAACCCTACATGTTTTATTCTCCA